GAAGCCCTCTACAGACGGACTCACACTGCCCTCTGAAGCCCTCTACAGACGGACTCGCACTGCCCTCTGAAGCCCTCTACAGACGGACTCACACTGCCTTCTGAAGCCCTGACAGACGGACTCACACTGCCCTCTGAAGCCCTCACAGACGGACTCACACTGCCCTCTGAAGCTCTCACAGACGGACTCACACTGCCCTCTGAAGCCCTCTACAGACGGACTCACACTGCCCTCTGAAGCCCCTCACAGACGGACTCACACTGCCCTCTGAAGCCCTCACAGACGGACTCACACTGCCCTCTGAAGCCCTCACAGACGGACTCACACTGCCCACTGAAGCCCTCACAGACGGACTCAACACTGTTTTAAAGAGTAAATGATCCGTTATGATACTCTTAGAATGCTTCAAGTTGATTGTGTATAATCTTCTTTTGTCCAATCAAAATTAGTCTGGCCCGCTATTATTTCGTGCACTCTGACCACTAGTTACTATTCGCTGCTAACTTTCCCGCTCACTGTTACTGGATAGTGTGGCTCAGATCCTAGCTCCGTGATTGGTGGAATTATCTCCCACTTGCTGATTTGCTGGATTCAAAACATACTGCAGTATTATTGGAAGATTTTTGAACAAATCCTAATGTTCATTATCTAGGCGAGGCTTCTCTTAATTCTCACTGTCGATGGATTTATTATCCGCAATGTTTTGCCCGTATGATGTTTAATACAGTGACTTTAGATAACTGTATCATATAAATTCCTAATGGTGTATACGTCCCTGTCAGTTGTGGAATAGGCCCCCTGTCAGTTGTGGTATAGGCCCCTGTCAGTTGTGGAATAGGCCCCCTGTCAGTTGTGGTATAGGCCCCTGTCAGTTGTGGTATAGGCCCCTGTCAGTTGCCACCATTTGGTCACCACTTGGTCCGGGAGACATCTCCCGTCACGCAGGGTGCAGTCGCACCTCCACAGATCTCCAGTATCATCTATTGATACTGGTGATGGCTCAAAAGGGCCACCACTTACGGGCTATTCATGCCCGTGCCACCTTTTGGATGGCTTAATCGTCATCTTGGACACATTCATGGGAGACATCTCCCGTCACGCAGAGTGCACTTGCACCTCCACAGATCTCCAGTATCGGCTCTTGATACTGGTGATGGCTCAAAAGGGCCACCACTTACGGGCTATTCATGCCCGTGCCACCTTTTGGGTGGCTTAATCTTCATCAATCATCAATCTGTCAGTTGTGGTATAGGCCCCTGTCAGTTGTGGTATAGGCCCCCCTGTCAGTTGTGGAATAGGCCCCTGTCAGTTATGGAATAGGCCCCCTATCAGTTGTGGAATAGGCCCCCTGTCAGTTGTTTAATAGGCCCCTGTCAGTTGTGGAATAGGCCCCCTGTCAGTTGTGGAATAGGCCCCCTGTCAGTTGTGGAATAGGCCCCCTGTCAGTTGTGGAATAGGGCCCCTGTCAGTTGTGGAATAGGCCCCCTGTCAGTTGTGGAATAGGCCCCTGTCAGTTGTGGAATAGGCCCCCTGTCAGTTGTGGAATAAGTCCCTCTTCATTCTCGCTTTAAATTGAACACCAAAGTCGCTTGTTTGGTCTGCAGAAACCTGTGGTTAACGTCTAACATAAATACGAGATGTGTTTAGAAAAAAAAGTGTGCTTTCACATGGAGAACTGGTCATGGATGGTGCGGTCGGTGCATCTGCCTTCTTCGACAAACACGGCGATGGAAAGGTCAAGCCTCGCGGTGGAAAGGCAGGAAGGCAGGTCAAACACCGTGCTAGAAAGGCAGGTCGCTGAAGGTAGAGAATGCTTGCCCTTACCTCGCGTGTCGCAAGAAGAAAAAGAGATAAAAGCTAACAATAGCAGAGAAAGCCTGACCTATCTGGCTCTTGAAGAAGGAGCGGGAGTCTCAGATGGGGGGAAGAAGGAGGGAGGAGCCGTCTCCTTGCGCGGCGCGCCGAAGGACTTTTGGCGGGAATGAAGATTCCCTTCCCCCGTCTGGAGCCAGAAGCCCCGGCGCTCTCTCTCTCTCTTCTTCTTCTTCTCTCTCTCTGCTCTCTTTTCATCTTTCTCTCTCTCTCTTCTTCTCTCTTTCTGCTTTCTCTTTTCATCTCTCTCTCTCTCTCTCTCGGCAAGAATGGGCACTCATCTTCTGCTTCAATAAGGTCGTCACCATCACATACCCTCCTCCAATACGTCTGCAACAATTGTACTAAATTGTACTTAACCCGCGCTGCTAACAGCACAAAGGGCTGTGAAAATAAAAAAAATTCTTCAGAGCATGAAGTGCAATCAGATTAGTTTTTATTCCCCTGGTTCAAAATTCAAGGGCAGAGAAAATACATAATTTTACCTAAACTTACCGGAGCCACAAAATACAGGCCGAGGAGAATCACCTAAACGCACTAAGATGCTATGACATCCACATCTGACAGATCCCATGTGGTCTAGTGGCTAGGATACCTGGCTTTCACCCAGGAGGCCCGGGTTCGATTCCCGGCATGGGAAGTAGTTTAATGGGGTGAGAATAGCTTGAGCTACCTCATCCCTTTGTGTGTATTTTACCTCAATAAACTTATTTCAATTTCAATTTCCACATCTGACAGGATGGTTAATAGTACACGTGATCAGTAGCGTGCGCTTGCAAACTTTGCATGCAGTATGATGACATCCTGTAGAAACACCGAGAGTGAATAAAGTAATAGTAAAGCTCTAGGTACCTAAAGCTAGGTACTTAGCTATGTATCTAGGTAGAAGGGAGCCGGTGGCTGAGCGGACAGAACACTGGACGCATGGTCCTGTGGTCCCGGGTTCGATCCCGGGCGCCGGAGAGAAACAATGGGCAGAGTTTCTTTCACCTGTTACCTAGCAGTAAATAGGTACCTGGGAGTTAGTCAGCTGTCACGGGCTGCTTCCTGGGGGTGGAGGCCTTGTCGAGGACCGGGCCGCGGGGACACTAAGCCCCGAAATCATCTCAAGATAACCTCCTCCCGGCAGGTCTGACCAACTTACATATGTGGAGAGATAATGTCATGATTGATGTTTTTCCCGCATGCAGTCCCCTATCCAGCGGTGGATAGGGGACTCCTATCCTAGGATAGGATACAATCGCTCACATTTACTACCAACAGTTTGCAAACTGGGGATATTTCCCTAACTTCTTGCACTGAAATGTGTACAAGTCTCCAAACTTGAGGAGTTAATTGTAAGTGCTTCTCTATCATCTTTAACTGCGTTCAACTCTTTAAGACATAATTGTAAGCAGGCGATGAGTCACAATAACGTGGCTGAAGTATGTTGACCAGACCACACACTAGAAGTTGAAGGGACGACGACGTTTCGGTCCGTCCTGGACCATTCTCAAGTCGATTGTGAGAATGGTCCAGGACGGACCGAAACGTCGTCGTCCCTTCAACTTCTAGTGTGTGGTCTGGTCAACATAATTGTAACATGCTCGTGTCTGAAGCTACACATACAAGACAAGACAATTATGAATGGTGGTAACAGAATCTATTTCATGTGGATTCCATCTAATGTTCGCCTCTGAATGCATGATAAGAGCTGATGAGTTAGCCAAAGACTCTTCCTTGAGAGGAGTTGATTATAACCTTGTACTGCCTCGAACTATATGTTTTTAACTAATATTTAACCCTGTCCATGGAGGACAGAAGAAAATGTATATATGCTGGTTAGCATTTTAAATGTGTGGCCACATCTGTGGTAGAAAAATAATAAAAAAAAACTGCCTACAAGCAGTTTGAGAACAATAATGCACCAAGAACGTCAACAAAGCATTGTAGATCTGTGGCAAAGTGAAATCTAAAATAGTAATTCCCATCTATCATCATACTATCATGCAAGAAGTGCCACACATCTTCGGGTCATCCAATAAAATCAACGGACTCCTAGATGATATCACAGCTCATCATCTTTTTGGCTATCTCTATGTGATGGAGTGCGAAGATATACGCGAATTTAGAAACACCTATACAACCAATGCTTAAGAAATGTGTCAATATCTCATTCAAAATGATCTACTGAACGGTTAACACAGAATACGACTAAACCAGTGAAATACTTCGGGGCTGTGAGCCCGACTCTCACTGAAGAACCAAAGGACACTCCTTCAAGTACCAGCTGAGGAACAAAAATTATTATGTGTTAAATAGCACATGTAATCACTGCTATTTCATACTATTCAACTCTATTACCATTAATTTCCATGAAACATAAGACTTAGTCAAATTAATAATACACAAAATTAAGAGATGTTTAAAAAAACAAATATTATACCATTCTTTTGAGGTACGGGGTAAATAAAAAAAAAATGAATATAAACAAAGCAACAACTCTTCCCAGCAAAAAACTCGTGACGATCTGTGAGTCGCAATTCTCTTTCCTCCTAATACAGCGGGACAGGTTTTTCGCCCCCACAGGCAGGAAGGATTTGGCTAGCCAGGAGGGATGGCGGTCCGGGATGTTGAGAAGAGGCCAATCTCTCTCCCAGACGTGAGAGGAGATGCTTTCCTGGTGGTGAGGGAGAGAGAGAAGGGAAGTGTGTGCATGCATTTCAGCGTCTTGAAACGCACCGAAAGGTCTTCTGCTCCTTGTAGTTGGTCCTTCAATAGTTCCATGCTGGCACATCATCTCGCGATTTCTGCAGACTGATGATGTCCGTATTTCGTGACATTTTAGCTATCCCATGCAGTTCTGCTACGCAGGACACAGACCACAAGTGTTGTTTGGCATCGTTGATCCTACGTTTGACAAGAAGCGGCGCTCTGCGACTCCTACTGAGTAGTCAAACTAAGGGGGGAGTTTTTTTTTTCTATCTTAGTATCTACCTGAAGTACGTGAAGGCCATCGTCGCGACGTAGCCACGACGAGCGAAGGAAGGTCCTGGCTTGTAGCGTCTGTCGTTGCTTGTTGGGGTCCATGCTGTTGTCTCTTGTGCTCGACCTATCGTGAAAGTAATCTGGAAGCACGCAGGGCTAACATGGGAGTGGGGAATGAGTTAGAGAAAAGTGACCACACGCATCACAGGTTCTGGAGAACCAGCAGAAACTATGTAAAGGTTAATTCAGTCACGATCCAGAAACTGTTGTTGTTGTTATAGATTCAGCTACTCGGAACAAGTTCCAAGTAGCACGGGCTATGGTGAGCCCGTAGTGGACTTACCTGGCACAGGAGCAGGGCTGTTGATCCAGAAATTAGTACAGCTTATTATATAGGATTAAGGAAGACACTGACTCCTGAGGAGTGGGCAACCTTAGACACTTAAAACTTAGGTGGTTCTCAGAATCCAATTCCTGTTCTTGGGGATATGAAGCCTAGTACTTAAGACTAATCTGGGTCTCCAGTAGGCCTATTACTGACCTTCCCCAAGGATGCAACCCACAACAGCTGCCTAACTCCCGCGTAATCTATTTTTCAGTGTCGGGTGAACAGAGGCATCAGGTGAAAGATAAACGTACCCAACCGTTTCTGAGCCCCCTCGATTGTGAAAGGCTATATCAACATCTTATTTATCACTAGTCTATAAATAAATATTACAAAACCTTTAGTTATCATTTTCGGAGCAGGACAAAGGGATCTAATTAGGGGTCAGTCACTCCGTGATTACTCCAGGGTCAGCCAGCTCCCAGGGTCGCCCCCAGGGCCCCCTGGGTGACCCTGGGGTGATATATGAACTTTTCACTCCGGGCTCACCATAGCCCGTGCTACTTGCCCCGCTCCTGTGCCAAGTAAGTTACGGGCTCACCATAGCCCGTGCTACTTGCCCCGCTCCTGTGCCAAGTAAGTTACGGGCTCACCATAGCCCGTGCTACTTGCCCCGCTCCTGTGCCAAGTAAGTTACGGGCTCACCATAGCCCGTGCTACTTGCCCCGCTCCTGTGCCAAGTAAGTTACGGACTCACCATAGCCCGTGCTACTTGCCCCGCTCCTGTGCCAGATAAGCTACGGGGTCACCATAGCCCGTGCTACTTGCCCCGCTCCTGTGCCAGCAGGTAAGTTACGGGCTCACCATAGCCCGTGCTACTTGCCCCGCTCCTGTGCCAGGTAAGTTACGGGCTCACCATAGCCCGTGCTACTTGCCCCGCTCCTGTGCCAGGTAAGTTACGGGTTCACCATAGCCCGTGCTACTTGCCCCGCTCCTGTGCCAAGTAAGTTACGGGCTCACCATAGCCCGTGCTACTTGGAACTTGTTCCGAGTAGCTGAATCTATAACAACAACAACTCCGCATCAGTAGCTGAAGGCATAGTATATACAAGCTCTATCTACAAATCCAACTTTTTGTTTGTAACTCATTTGATATGTACTTTATTTTACCAAAATAAACATTATTAATAATATTATATGCAAAGAGTCCAGGAATATATAAAGGTTTACATAGTGTGATGGAGAGGTTAAGAGGGTCGATCATGACGCTGGTTCGATGCCGCCCCTCAAGACGGATACCAAGACTTTCTCATCCACTTGAAAGCTTAACAAAAAGTCTTCTGAAATATTCCACTCATAGCTGCAACACGACAACACGAATATATATATATATATATATATATATATATATATATATATATATATATATATATATATATATATATATATATATATATATATATATATATATGTCGTACCTAGTAGCCAGAACGCACTTCTCAGCCTACTATGCAAGGGCCGATTTGCTTAATAAGCCAAGTTTTCCTGAATTAATATATTTTCTCTAATTTTTTTCTTATGAAATGATAAAGCTACCCATTTCATTATGTATGAGGTCAATATTTTTTTATTGGAGTTAAAATTAACGTGGATATATGACCGAACCTATCCAACCCTACCTAACCTAACCTAACCTATCTTTATAGGTTAGGTTAGGTTAGGTAGCCGAAAAAGTTAGGTTAGGTTAGGTTAGGTAGTCGAAATGCAATGAATTCATGAAAACTTGGCTTATTAGGCAAATCGGGCCTTGAATAGTAGGCTGAGAAGTGAGTTCTGGCTACTAGGTACGACATATATACATATATATATATATATATATATATATATATATATATATATATATATATATATATATATATATATATATACATACACACACACACATCACGTTTGTGTGGTTTCATTGTGTATGGTAATATAATCATATTAATAATAATTTCTATGTATAATACATTTGAATCACGATACACAGTTCATAATTTAAATAAAGCCACTGATACGCAGAAGGTTTCCGCCATCAAGTTGTCACTAGCAAAGGGCGCGACTATCAACACGGCTCCCCGTACAGTTACTGGCCAGACCCAAGAGAGATTAACCAATTATCCTCGTGAAGCTCACGTCATTCACAATTATCAATACAAGGAGGAGACTAAGACAAGTTCCAAACAGGTTCTTGATGTATCAGAGAGAGAGACCGTTTTGGAGCACTGCGGTGGGATCAAACTCGCGTCTCTGGCCTCCTCTACACAGACTCCAACACTATCCACGACGTCTTGAAAGATCACCTCCAGGGCTTCTGGTACGCGTGTCTGGGAGGCCAGTGATTTAAGAGTTCGACCCTCACTGTATTACTCCAAAATGTTCTCAATGAAAGTTTTAAACCGTCAAACGTACTGTAGTTATGCTCAAGTCTCAGAGTAAAGATATCATGCAAACTAAACGATACTAAGATAGAATTTATTAAATCATTTGTGGATTAATTTATAAAAAGTTCTCAGACTTCTTCCTATTGGTGAGTGTTGTACATGCTGCTATGGCGGTGTGTCCACTCACAGGATGAGTGACGCTGCCCTATACTGTCACTATGGCGGTGTGTCCACTCACAGGATGAGTGATGCTGCCCAATACTGTCACTATGGCGGTGTGTCCACTCACAGGATGAGTGGCGCTGCCCAATACTGTCACTATGGCGGTGTGTCCACTCACAGGATGAGTGACGCTGCCCAATACTGTCACTATGGCGGTGTGTCCACTCACAGGATGAGTGGCGCTGCCCAATACTGTCACTATGGCGGTGTGTCCACTCACAGGATGAGTGGCGCTGCCCAATACTGTCACTATGGCGGTGTGTCCACTCACAGGATGAGTGGCGCTGCCCAATACTGTCACTATGGCGGTGTGTCCACTCACAGGATGAGTGGCGCTGCCCAATACTGTCACTATGGCGGTGTGTCCACTCACAGGATGAGTGGCGCTGCCCAATACTGTCACTATGGCGGTGTCCACTCACAGGATGAGTGGCGCTGCCCAATACTGTCACTATGGCGGTGTGTCCACTCACAGGATGAGTGGCGCTGCCCAATAAACTCGCCCCTCGGGGCAAAATTTAAAATTTTAAAAGTCCCCAGACGCTAACGATTTGCTAAATCCTAAAAGAATGTCAAGAGGCGCTAAAAAGTAAACCTTGTTAATTATACTAAATGAAACCAGACATGAGAACTATGCCAGAACTGCGGAAAACTCTATGCACGCTACGGGCTCACCATAGCCCGTGCTACTTGCCCCGCTCCTGTGCCAGGTAAGTTACGGGCTCACCATAGCCCGTGCTACTTGTAACTTGTTCCGAGTAGCTGAATCAATAACAACAACATCTGTGCACGCAGTCCTCACTTGAGAGAAAAAAAATGGCTAGATCGCAAGCATGAACCAATCGTCTTAATGTTAAGTAAATTATGAGGTAATTATTTAAAACAATTATCACAAATGCCATTTAATCCCATCTACAAACATAAACAATAACCTCAGAACATAGCTTTATAAAAAAAGAAAGATCAATTTTGATCAATATGCTCAACTTTTCAAGCATATTTAAGGCAGCAGATTGCTATATTGCACATCTAGACTCTTAATAAAGCTTGAGACACTTATTAACGTAAAAAGATTGTCAAGGAAGGTAGTTGTATAAGGTATTGGACGGGATATCACACACAGAGATCACACTAACGTGATGCATCAAATGAACAAATCCACAAGGGGCCGTGACGTGGATTCGAACCTGCGTCCGGGAGCATCCCAGACACTGCCTTAATCGACTGAGCTACGACAGGGTTAAAAGGGTTAAAACCGAAGTTCTACTGAACTTACTGGATCCCGTAACCTCTCCGATGCACAAGCCAGGCTTTTACACAACCCCCCCCCCCCCTGCCCCCCTGCACCGGAAAGCCTTGAGTTGTGTCAGAAAGTCTTGGGTTGTGTCAGAAAGTCTTGGGTTTGTGTCAGAAAGCCTTTTGTTGTGTCAGAAAGCCTTGAGTTGTGTCAGAAAGCCTTGGGTTGTGTCAGAAAGCCTTGGGTTGTGTCAGAAAGCCTTGGGGTTATGTCAGAAAGCCTTGGGTTGTGTCAGAAAGCCTTGGGGTTATGTCAGAAAGCCTTGAGTCGCACCAGAAAAGGAGAGATGGCACCGGAAAACCTTGCATGGATTGTCCCAGAAAACCCTTCGGTTGCACCAAAGAAGAAAGGGCCTAATTTCACGAGGCAGTACGTCTATCAGTCCCATTGTTATCGGGGAACCCTCATGATCTCAACCAATGGGAGCGTCCTATTCCTTGACCTTTCACCTCTGTATAATCCTCCACCTTCTTCGCATCCATCCCCACATCATCCTTCACCCCGCAACCTCACCCTTCACCCTCACCACTACCTCCTACATCCACACACATCATCCTTCACCCCGCAACCTCACCCTTCACCCTCACCACTACCTCCTACATCCACACAAAGGACAACACTTTCTACACGTCATTTTCAAGAAAAAAAGATTCCTGAATTGGGGACATTGGTGTTGGACTTACCGGGCCGGCCGGTCTGTGCTGGCTGCCACATTCTAACGATTTTCGAAATGCTGCTATAAGTTTTACGACCGAAACCTAAGCACCAGCGTCCGATCCTACTACGCTATTAAGGCCCTAGTTGGAGAAGACGAACATTGGCAATAGCTTTATAGTTGTAGCCTGCGCTCGTCAACAAGAGAGGGGGGGGGGTGTTAACGTATATGAAAAGACACTCAAAAAGATAGCAGATTTAAAAGTAGATTTAGATTTAGATTTAGATTAGATTTAGATTTAAAAGTAGATAGATAAAGATTGTACACACGACTTATAGCATATGACTTATGCACTGTTCTCCAGCAATGCTTTTGTACACGTCCTTTGTTCACGTTCTTTGTTCACGCCCTTTGTTCACGTTCTTTGTTCACGTTCTTTGTTCACGATTTTTGTTCACGTCCTTTGTTCACGTTCTTTGTTCACGTTCTTTGTTCACGTTCTTTGTTCACGATTTTTGTTCACGCCCTTTGTTCACGTTCTTTGTTCACGTTCTTCGTTCACGTTCTCTGCCCGCATCTCGACTCTCTAAAGACTTCACCTACGTACAACAAATGCTACAAATCACCTAACCACCTAACCTAACCTAACCTAACCTAACCACCTAACCTAACCTAACCTAACCACCTAACCTAACCTAACCACCTAACCTAACCTAACCACCTAACCTAACCTAACCTAACCACCTAACCTAACCTAACCACCTAACCTAACCTAACCACCTAACCTAACCTAACCACCTAACCTAACCTAACCACCTAACCTAACCTAACCACCTAACCTAACCTAACCTAACCTAACCACCTAACCTAACCTAACCACCTAACCTAACCTAACCACCTAACCTAACCTAACCTAACCTAACCTAACCTAACCACCTAACCTAACCTAACCACCTAACCTAACCTAACCTAACCTAACCACCTAACCTAACCCAACCTAACCACCTAACCTAACCTAACCACCTAACCTAACCTAACCTAACCTAACCTAACCTAACCTAACCTAACCACCTAACCTAACCTAACCTAGGCCAAACTAGTCGACACATTGTAGAATGTAATAATATTAACATATGTCTGAGAGAATGAAACTTTTCAATACGCAGAAGGTTAAAACTAATGATGACTGTGTCTTTGGGGGACGATTGATGGATAGATGGACGAGCCTAGCCTTAGGACAGGTTGTTCGATTCCCTAGAGGCATTTAGTTTACCGAGAGTAAGTCGTTAGTAAGTCACTGGCAGCCGTCAGAAGAGACAGACAGCCGTCAGAAGAGACAGGCAGCCGTCAGAAGACACAGGTAGCCGTCAGAAGACACAGGTAGCCGTCAGAAGACACAGGTAGCCGTCAGCAGACACAGGCAGCCGTCAGAAGAGACAGGCAGCCGTCAGAAGACACAGACAGCCGTTAGAAGAGACAGGCAGCCGTCAGCAGACACAGGCAGCCGTCAGAAGAGACAGGCAGCCGTCAGAAGACACAGACAGCCGTCAGAAGAGACAGGCAGCCGTCAGAAGACACAGACAGCCGTTAGAAGACACAGGCAGCCGTCAGAAGAGACAGGCAGCCGTCAGAAGAGACAGGCAGCCGTCAGAAGAGACAGGCAGCCGTCAGAAGAGACAGGCAGCCGTCAGAAGACACAGGCAGCCGTCAGAAGACACAGACAGCCGTTAGAAGACACAGGCAGCCGTCAGAAGAGACAGGCAGCCGTCAGAAGACACAGACAGCCGTCAGAAGAGACAGGCAGCCGTCAGCAGACACAAGCAGCCGTCAGAAGAGACAGGCAGCCGTCAGAAGAGACAGGCAGCCGTCAGAAGAGACAGACAGCCGTCAGAAGACACAGGTAGCCGTCAGAAGAGACAGGCAGCCGTCAGAAGAGACAGACAGCCGTCAGAAGAGACAGACAGCCGTCAGAAGACACAGGCAGTCGTCAGAAGACACAGGTAGCCGTCAGAAGACACAGGCAGCCGTCAGAAGACACAGGTAGCCGTCAGAAGACACAGACAGCCGTTAGAAGACACAGGCAGCCGTCAGAAGAGACAGGCAGCCGTCAGAAGACACAGACAGCCGTCAGAAGAGACAGGCAGCCGTCAGCAGACACAAGCAGCCGTCAGAAGAGACAGGCAGCCGTCAGAAGAGACAGGCAGCCGTCAGAAGAGACAGACAGCCGTCAGCAGACACAGGTAGCCGTCAGAAGAGACAGGCAGCCGTCAGAAGAGACAGACAGCCGTCAGAAGAGACAGACAGCCGTCAGAAGACACAGGCAGTCGTCAGAAGACACAGGTAGCCGTCAGAAGACACAGGCAGCCGTCAGAAGACACAGGTAGCCGTCAGAAGAGATAGGCAGCCGTCAGAAGAGACAGGCAGCCGTCAGCAGACACAAGCAGCCGTCAGAAGAGACAGGCAGCCGTCAGAAGAGACAGGCAGCCGTCAGAAGAGATAGGCAGCCGTCAGAAGAGACAGGCAGCCGTCAGAAGAGACAGGCAGCCGTCAGAAGACACAGGTAGCCGTCAGAAGACACAGGCAGCCGTCAGAAGAGATAGGCAGCCGTCAGAAGAGACAGGCAGCCGTCAGAAGAGACAGACAGCCGTCAGAAGACACAGGTAGCCGTCAGAAGAGACAGGCAGCCGTCAGAAGAGACAGACAGCCGTCAGAAGAGACAGACAGCCGTCAGAAGACACAGGCAGTCGTCAGAAGACACAGGTAGCCGTCAGAAGACACAGGCAGCCGTCAGAAGACACAGGTAGCCGTCAGAAGAGATAGGCAGCCGTCAGAAGAGACAGGCAGCCGTCAGCAGACACAAGCAGCCGTCAGAAGAGACAGGCAGCCGTCAGAAGAGACAGACAGCCGTCAGAAGAGATAGGCAGCCGTCAGAAGAGACAGGCAGCCGTCAGAAGAGACAGGCAGCCGTCAGCAGACACAAGCAGCCGTCAGAAGACACAGACAGCCGTCAGAAGAGACAGGTAGCCGTCAGAAGACACAGGCAGCCGTCAGAAGAGACAGGCAGCCGTCAGAAGAGATAGGCAGCCGTCAGAAGAGACAGGTAGCCGTCAGAAGAGACAGGCAGCCGTCAGAAGACACAGGTAGCCGTCAGAAGACACAGGCAGCCGTCAGAAGAGATAGGCAGCCGTCAGAAGAGACAGGCAGCCGTCAGCAGACACAAGCAGCCGTCAGAAGAGACAGGCAGCCGTCAGAAGAGACAGGCAGCCGTCAGAAGAGACAGGCAGCCGTCAGCAGACACAAGCAGCCGTCAGAAGACACAGACAGCCGTCAGAAGAGACAGGCAGCCGTCAGAAGAGACAGGCAGCCGTCAGAAGACACAGGCAGCCGTCAGAAGACACAGGCAGCCGTCAGAAGAGACAGGCAGCCGTCAGAAGAGACAGGTAGCCGTCAGAAGAGACAGGCAGCCGTCAGCAGACACAGGCAGCCGTCAGCAGAGACAGGCAGCCGTCAGAAGAGACAGGCAGCCGTCAGAAGAGACAGACAGCCGTCACGAGGCTAAGGATACATTTGTCTAATGCTATATATAGAGTATTTATTGCTTTACGACCCGATGGAGACGTGCTGTTCAATAATGGAAGAGTCTTGTTGATGTCTATCGTAAGGTATTGTCATGTCTGGTGCAATTAATGCCAGCTGCTCGAGTCATAACAGGAACAACAGGTTGTTAAATCCCCTTCCCCCCCTCCCCCCCCCCAAACGCAGGTCACAATGTGCCCATTGAAGACCTCGTTAATGGTAATTAGTCCGAGCGTTGAACGTTGTTTAAGATTTGCTACCTGGAATAAAAAGTTCCAAGTAGCACGGGCTATGGTGAGCCCGTAGCTTACCCGGCACAGGAGCGGGGCCAGTAGCACGGGCTATGGTGAGCCAGTAGTGGACTTACCTGGCGCAGGAGCGGGGCCAGTAGCACGGGCTATGGTGAGCCCGTAGTGGACTTACCTGGCACAGGAGCGGGGCCAGTAGCACGGGCTATGGTGAGCCCATAGTGGACTTACCTGGCACAGGAGCGGACGACTGGTTCAAATATGTTCATTGAGACAAGAAAGAAATACATCTCAAAGGGATAGAGTAGCTTAGGCTATTCCTAACCAACCCTCCGTCTCCTAATTGGTCGTGAAACAAGCGCACTCACTCACTCACCCACCTGCCCAACAGGAAAGATTCCTGGCGGTGGGCTCGGTCCTGGCCACACACGTCATATGACGGTGCCAGATCCTTCCTACAGACCCGAGGAGGGGTGGGGGGAGGGGGGGGGAGTAGAGGAAGCACCGTGCCTTGTATCCAGGTGGCGAATGGCATTTCCTGAGCGGCAACACTGTACGCGAGGTCGAGTGGGGGTGGGAGGGGGATGGGGAGGGTTGGGGAAGGGGTAGGGGGCAGCTAGCATGGGTAAGGATTGGCAGTACTGACACCGGGAAGGGGGCGGAGGGGGCGCCGGGCGGGGGCGGCATGAAGCAGCCAGGGTTACATATTCAAGCAAGAAAGCAAGCAATAGTTTTTTGGGGCGGTATCCGTTATTCAATCATACAACGTATTCGTACACTGACGCTTTCCGGCCTCGTTTAGGTGAGGTGAGGTGGGGGTGACCCTACGTTTCTGGCCCAGGCAAAAACAGTCGCATTTTTTTTTGTACGGAGTGGAGAGAAGGTTGGCCGACTGACTGACCGACAGACATTAACCCGCACTCGTATAATGCAACAGAATTTACCAGAAGTCTCCGGGGGGAGGGGGGAGGAGGGGGCAAGCAAGTAGGGGGGGGAAGGGGGGGTGAATGAAGGAGGAGGGGTAATGGAGAGAGGTGAAGAGGGGGGAGGGGGTAGGTGAAGGTAAGAGAGAAGGAGAAAGTATGTGAAGAGTGGATTGAAGAAACAGACTTTAGGGGAGGAGAAAGGAAGAGGTAGCGTGTGGGTGAAGAAGCTCCCCCCAACAGCCAGATGGATGTAGAAGCTCCCCCCAACAGCCAGATGGATGTAGAAGCTCCCCCCAACAGCCAGATGGATGAAGAAGCTTCCCCCAAACAGCCAGATGGATGTAGAAGGTTCCCCCAACAGCCAGATGGATGTAGAAGCTCCCCCCAACAGCCAGATGGATGAAGAAGCTCCCCCCAACAGCCAGATGGATGAAGAAGCTCCCCCCCAACAGCCAGCTGGATGAAGAAGCTCCCCCCAACAGCCAGATGGATGAAGAAGCTCCCCCCGACAGCCAGATGGATGAAGAAGCTCCCCCCCCAAACAGCCAGATGGATGTAGAAGCTCCCCCCAACAGCCAGCTGGATGAAGAAGCTCCCCCCCAAACAGCCAGATGGATGTAGAAGCTCCCCCCGACAGCCAGATGGATGAAGAAGCTCCCCCCCAAACAGCCAGATGGATGTAGAAGCTCCCCCCGACAGCCAGATGGATGAAGAAGCTCCCCCCAACAGCCAGATGGATGAAGAAGCTCCCCCCAACAGCCAGATGGACGAAGAAGCTCCCCCAACAGCCAGATGGATGAAGAAGCTCCCCCCAACAGCCAGATGGATGAAGAAGCTCCCCCCCAAACAGCCAGATGGATGTAGAAGCTCCCCCCAACAGCCAGATGGATGAAGAAGCTCCCCCCAACAGCCAGATGGATGAAGAAGCTCCCCCAACAGCCAGATGGATGAAGAAGCTCCCCCAACAGCCAGATGGATGAAGAAGCTTCCCCCAAACAGCCAGATGGATGTAGAAGGTTCCCCCAACAGCCAGATGGATGTAGAAGCTCCCCCCAACAGCCAGATGGATGAAGAAGCTCCCCCCAACAGCCAGATGGATGAAGAAGCTCCCCCCCAACAGCCAGCTGGATGAAGAAGCTCCCCCCAACAGCCAGATGGATGAAGAAGCTCCCCCCGACAGCCAGATGGATGAAGAAGCTCCCCCCAAACAGCCAGATGGATGTAGAAGCTCCCCCCAACAGCCAGCTGGATGAAGAAGCTCCCCCCAACAGCCAGATGGATGAAGAAGCTCCCCCCAACAGCCAGATGGATGAAGAAGCTCCCCCAACAGCCAGATGGATGAAGAAGCTCCCCCCAACAGCCAGATGGATGAAGAAGCTCCCCCCAACAGCCAGATGGATGAAGAAGCTCCCCCCAACAGCCAGATGGATGAAGAAGCTCCCCCAACAGCCAGATGGATGAAGAAGCTACCCCCAAACAGCCAGATGGATGTAGAAGCTCCCCCCAACAGCCAGATGGATGAAGAAGGTTCCCCAAACTGCTGGGTGAAAATAATTCAAAGTTTTCATTAAATGCAGAAATTAAAATCTCAATGATAACTGTGAAAGAGAACAATTGTGACACAGAACAGTTGTGGAACAGCTGTGATACTGAACAGGTTTAGCACTGAACAGATGTGAGTGATATTGAACAGCTGTGACACTGAACAGATATATGACAATGGGGGCAGTTGTGATACTAAAGATGTAATATAAATCATCTGTGAAACTGAACAGGTGTGACAGTGAACTGGTGTGACAGTGAATAGCTGTGACAGTGAACAGCTGTGACTGAACAGGTGTGACAGTGAACAGCTGTGACAGTGAACAGCTGTGACTGAACAGGTGTGACAGTGAACAGCTGTGACTGAACAGGTGTGACAGTGAACAGCTGTGACTGAACAAGTGTGACAGTGAACAGCTGTGACTGAACAGGTGTGACTGAACAAGTGTGACAGTGAACACGTGTGACAGTGAACAGCTGTGACTGAACAGGTGTGACAGTGAACAGCTGTGGCTGAACAGGTGTGACAGTGAACAGGTGTGACAGTGAACAACTGTGACACTGGAACATGATGAGAAACAGTGAATAGGCTTGACACTGAACAAATCTGACAGTTAAACGTACACAAAAAATAATTTTTACATTATTTTCACTGCAGTTCTTTTGCTTACACTGTACCTCACAGCATGAACCCCCCCCCCCCCACCTCCACGATCTCCAGTACAAGCCACTTATAACCGAGATAACCCACTGGCTCTACACCGGAGAGAAGCAAGATCCATTATTATGTCTCTCACACATTTCCAGTGATACACTGTGGTATTACCAAGACCGTTCGTGGCCCCCCTAAACGTATGATCATACACCAACTTGGGAACACTCTTTGGCGACGACGTTTCGTCCTAGTAAGAGCCAAGGGACCAGATTCACGAAGCACTTACGAACGTGTACGTCTTTTTTCAATCTTTGGCAGCTTTGGTTACATTTAGTAAGAGCCAAGGGGCCAGATTCACGAAGCACTTACGAACGTGTACGTCTTTTTTCAATCTTTGGCAGCTTTGGTTACATTTAGTAAGAGCCAAGGGGCCAGATTCACGAAGCACTTACGAACGTGTACGTCTTTTCTCAATCTTTGGCAGCTTTGGTTACATTTATTAAACAGTTTACAAGCATGAAAACTTGCCAATCAACTGTTGTTATTGTTATAAACAGCCTCCTGGTGCTTCGGAGCTCATTAACTGTTTAATAATTGTAAACAAAGCCGTCAAACAGTTAATGAGTCCCGAAGCACCAGGAGGCTGTTTATAACAATAACAACAGTTGAATGGGAAGTTTTCATCCTTGTAAACTGTTTAATAAATGTAACCAAAGCCGTCAAAGATCGAGGAAAGATGTACACGTTCGTAAGTACTGGCGTAACTGCTTCGTGAATCTGGCCCCAGGACTGGTCAAGCATCTGCTCAATTATTTACGAAACCTGTACATCTTTCCTCCGGTACGGTGGCTGTGCTTACATTTATTAGACAGTTTATGAGCTCCGAAGCACTACGAGTTTTGCTTATGACAGCCTTTAGAGTCACCATAAATTAAAAAAGAGAGTTGCCATTATTAAAGAAAGATATACAGGTTTCGTCAGTGGTTGTGTAAATGCTTGATGTATGTACCTTGGCTCATGGATATGATAATATGCCCTTACAGGAGAAATGTTTGTTGCCTTTCAATATAGTCAACTCTCAGATTAGTTGAATGAACTTGAAATGAAAGACTATTCACAATCCCGGAGAAGGATGGTAAGATCATTAAGAGGCACTCAAGTAACAGGCACTCAAGTAAGGCACTCAAGTAACAGGCACTCCTGTAAGGCTCAACTAGTATATGAGTAAAGGTCATGAGTATTTTAACTTGTAGGATCGCTCTTAATAACACATAGGATCATTTACTGTCCCACAAGTGAGGTCATACATGATCCCATGTGAGGTCACAGTCTATAGTCCCACACACATAAGTGCCCACAGTCACACTCACACATAAGTGTCCACAGTCACACTCACACATAAGTGCCCACAGTCACACACACACATAAGTGCCCACAGTCACACACACACATAAGTGCCCACAGTCACACACACATAAGTGCCCACAGTCACACACACACATAAGTGCCCACAGTCACACACACATAAGTGCCCACAGTCACACACACACATAAGTGCCCACAGTCACACACACACATAAGTGCCCACAGTCACACACACACATAAGTGCCC